AGGGCATGTGCCCCTGCCAGTGCTGCCTGCTCCAGAGACTGGAAAAGGGCTCAGAAGGAGCAGAGATTGGTGGGGGTTTCATGGGACACAGAGGTAAAGGACAGGTTCTTCTCTTCCCCAGGTGTACAAGGGCTTGGACATCATCACGAACAAGGTTTCTCCACAGGAGCAACGTCTGTGCAGACACCACATGATCAGCTTTGTGGATCCCCTTGTCACTAACTACACAGTGGTGGATTTCAGGGACAAAGCTGTGGCTCTGATATCCTTTCACACTGCAGCCTGTCTGGCCAAGCAGATAGGACTCCCCTCCTCCACAGCCACAGGAGGGATCAGCATTTGCATCAGGCTTGGGCTCTCCACATCCCAACTAACTCTGATTTTCAGAGGGTACAGCTGCTGAGGGGGGCTTAGGGCTTCTCTTACACAGCTACTGCTCAAGGCAGCCCAGGGAAGATCTCTGCTGCACTGTAAGTGCTGAGCTGGGTATTGCCTTCCCTGGCAGTCCCTCGATGTTCCTGAGGTGTGGTGGGTGGCACAAGTGGCAGAGGATAGTGAGAGATGAGAGACATCTATAACCCCGTCCTGCAGCCTCACCAGTTCCTTGGGGCTGAGAGAATGGGATCTGGGCCCCAGGTTGCTGCTCCCCACATCTCTCCCTCCCTCCCTGCTCTGCATCTCTGCTTACACTCCCTGACTATGGCACATTGAAGATATCTTTGCCCGAGACAAGATCCCCATTGTTGTGGGAGGAACCAACTACTACATCGAGTCCCTGCTCTGGAAGGTCCTTATCAACACCAAGGTACCGTGGGGGCTGCATATCCTTCTGGGAAAGGGTGAGCCCCATATTCAGGGCAGGGTTCCTGCAACCAGGCATGGTACTGTCCCAGCTAGAGTGGGGCAAGGAGAACCTAAAGCCCCTCACTCATCCCATGTGTCTGGGGGATTTTATTGCTTACACTGGCCTTGCACTTGGATGAGTGTTTTGATGCAGGGCTGCCTTGTGCCCCACAGGAGAAGACCAACACTGCCCCTGGATCTGGCAGGGACAGGAAAGTGGAGCTGGAGCAGCTGGACAGCACTGAGCTCCATCACCGCCTGAGCCAGGTGGACCCAGAGATGGCAGCCAAGCTGCACCCCAATGACAAGCGCAAAACGGCCAGGTGAGCTTGGTATGCCAGGGGCAGGAGCTGCCAAGGCTCAGCATCCCTTCCCAAGGGAGCTGTGTGCCTGGGAACACTGCAAGATGGGTTAGATAGGTGTTCCAGGACTCTTAGCTAGTGCTTGGGGACCTTGGAGCACTGGTGTTGGGGAGCTCTCTGGGATCTGAGACTTTTAGCTACACAGCCCCAGCTTGAACTGCCTCTGGAGTCTGGGACAGCACATCACTCCCGGGTTGTGCACACCAGGGCTGCTGCCATGCCCCTGCAGCAGGGTTTATCTGGAGCTATTTAAAGAGCAAGCTGCTGTGCTGGCTGAGTAACATAGCTGAGCTCTGTGGGAACTGCACGGCAGCAAGACCAGGCTTGCTGCTTCCTTGGGCCCATCCCAGCCGAGCCCTGGCCCGGAGGGAGCACAACACCGCCCACCCCATTCGCACGGTGCAGGGGGATGGAGGGTTGGGCACTCAGCACATCTTCTCCACCTCCCTGCCTGGACTGGGCTGAGCTGTTGGTAAAGCTCTGCAGCATCGGCAGCGCTGGCCCCTTCCCTGCAGCCCTGCCTGGCTGGAAAGGGAAGGGCTGGAGCCAGATCCCTGTCCCCTGCAGGGCTTGTCCCGGTGCCAGGCAGGAGTGGGTGGCTGTGCTCTGGGCTCCTTGTGTGCCAGCACTGCACCCCCAGGACCTGGGTGTGTGCAGATGCCAGGCACAGGAGGGGGCTGAGACCTGCCCTTCCCCCATATGAGAGGGTTGGATCACAGCAAGTGTCTGCGGTTCCCTTTGCTGGAGCCCCCAGGGCTGCTGGGGAAATGGGAAAGTTCATTCTCACCCAGCCTCTGAGCTCTGTCTGTCTCTGCTTACAGGAGCCTCCAAGTGTTTGAAGAGACAGGGATCCCCCACAGTGAGCTCTTGCACCAGCAACAGAGGGAGGAAGGTGGGGGGCCTTTGGGTGGACCCCTAAAATACCCACATTCCTGCATCTTGTGGCTCCATGCAGACCAGGCAGGTGAGAGTGGGCTCTTGGCTGGCTGATGAAGGTGGTGCAGGGTTAGGGCTGACTCCCTACCCCTGCCCCAGCCTCCTCCCTGGAGAAGGCAACAATTCCTTTGGCATCAGAGGGCGTGACAGAGAACTCATTCCCTTCACCTGCTTGGCTCTGCCTTCCTCAGGTGGAGCAGGAGGCTGGCAGTGCTGAATCACATCCTGGCACGCTGTCCAGCTCTGGGCCTCCTGAGGGCATGGATCCATGTGGCTCAGCGTGTCCTGCTCTCCTCCTCCAGCTCTGGATACACGGCTGGAAAAGAGGGTGGATGACATGCTGGCTGCAGGGCTGCTGGATGAGCTGCGTGACTTCCACCGCCGCTACAACCAGCAGAAGGTGGCTGAGAACCGGTGGGTGACAAGCCCAACTCCTCTGCTCCCACTCCCCAACTTCCTCTGAAGGTCTCCCACTGTTCTTTGGAGATGGCTGTGACTCCTGCCTCTTGTCTCCTTCTCCAGGCAGGATTACCAGCATGGCATCTTCCAGTCCATTGGCTTCAAGGAGTTCCATGAGTACCTCATCAGTGAAGGGAATTGCTCACCTGAGACCAGTGCCCTGCTGCTGCAAAAAGGTGGGAGGAACACCTTGTGTAGTCCACGATCCTCAGCCCCACACAGCTCCAGGTGACACCATGAGATGGTCTGAACCAAGGTCAGACCTTGGGGCAGGTCTTGTTGGGGCTGAGCTGCACCTTTCCCTCTGCATTTCCCACTTCTGCCAGCCCATAGGGTGCAAGGATTCATTTTCCAGAGCTTGGAGAGCATCTCTGAGCACACCCAGAGCAATCCCTCCCTTCCCCTAGGGCTCTTTGCAAGATGTACAGGGCACAGCATGACTTAGGATCTGGAGCTGGTCCACCTGGATCCCAGCTGGGGTGTGAGTGCTGTGGGGAATGTGGCTAGAAAATCCCACTTCTGCCAGCCCATAGGGTGCAAGGATTCATTTTCCAGAGCTTGGAGAGCATCTCTGAGCACACCCAGAGCAATCCCTCCCTTCCCCTAGGGCTCTTTGCAAGATGTACAGGGCACAGCATGACTTAGGATCTGGAGCTGGTCCACCTGGATCCCAGCTGGGGTGTGAGTGCTGTGGGGAATGTGGCTAGAAAAGAGAAGAAGAACTCTTTTTATGGTGGGAAGGAATGTGGAGATCCAGTGGATCTCAGCATGGGTCAATAGTGATGCACTTTTGGATAGTCTGTTCCATTCTGGAGTGTCTGGACTGATGTTAGAGGAGAGCTGCTCTGCTCCTCAGCACAGGGAGGACCCAGACAGAGTTCAACTGTGTTGAGGAGGATTCAGCATGGAATGGAGGTTGAGTCTGAGGAAACCACAGAAATGATAGAAGGCATGAAAACAAGTCTGGTGCAGAAGGGGCTTGTTGTGTCTGCTAAGGAAATGATTAGGAGGGATATGATAAGTCTGGTACTAAATACTGGATGCTTGTAGAGTGGTAAAACATCCTCTGGGCCCACAGTGGGTGGAATGAGCTCTCCTGGGCTCCATTTGTGCAGAGAAGTGTTCAGTTAAGCATTATAAGAGCAGTGCAGCTCTTGAACAGATTGTCCTGCCTGCTGAAAGTTTCAGGGTGGAGGATTTGGGCTCTTTTCACCCACTGTTCATTCAGGAGTATTTGGGACACCTTTTCCAGCCCTTCTGTGCTGCCACAGCCCCTACACTGTCTGTCAGGGCTCAACCTCTTCCCTGTAATGACCCTTCTCCATGCTGACATGAGACCCCCAGACTGAGAGTGCAAATAAGTGAGCATGGTGCCACCCAGCACAAACTTCTTCTGTGGGATTCCCTCCCTGGAGCAAACAGCTTCTTCTCACTGCTCTCAGCTCAGTTTGCAGTGTTGTGCTGACCTTTGGGTTATTTTGGGTTGGTTTTTTATAATCCTTCTGTTTTTAAGGGATCCAGGCCCTGAAACAGGTGACCAAGAGATATGCCAGGAGGCAGAACAAATGGGTCCGAAACCGTTTCCTGAAACGTGAGTCCTCTGGTCCCACCCCACCTCCCCATCCCTGTTCTTGCATCTCACCTCCTCCTTCCTGAGCACATCTGCTCCAGTTTGAGAGGGGAGTGTGAGGGAGACTGTGTGTGGGGGAGGCATGAGTCTGGCAGAGGTCATGTGTCTGTTCCCAGGCAGATCTCTCAAGGAAACAGTGTCCCCATCATCCACAAGGCTCTGCCCCCGCAGTTCCTTCCCGTGTGTTTGGGTTGCAGAGCTCCTGAGACAGCTCACTCAGCACTGTGTCTTGCCTCTAGCCTTGCATCCCAGACAGTCAAAAACCACCTCCTCCTCGCTGTACCCCTGTACCTCATCCCCTCCCAACAGCAGTGCCATCAGAATGGCCAAAACCCCAACAGCACAGAGCTCAGCTAGATGATGATGGCCACATCATCCCTGTAGCTTATCCCACCAACACCTCCTGGGGGGCTCAGGGAGGGGGTCCCCACGCACCCACACATGCTCCTGGTTCCACAGGGAGAAAAAGCCCATTTGACAGCTGCCCTCCAGATTAGGAGCAGGAGCCCTGTGGCTGCTCTTAGCCTGGGCCGCGCTCTCCGCGGTGGCAGAGAGCCAGCAGGACTTCCCCATCCCAGCCCCAGCCTTGGAGCAGGGCCAGCAGCAGCAGCTGGGAGCCGGGCACTTGTTGAAAGGTGCTCAGTAGGGGCAAAACAACAATAAAATACACACACACACAGAGAAAAAAAAAAAGGCAGGGAGAAACTTGAGTCAAAGGATGGACTTTGAACGAGGCGCGAGAGCTTTCCCGCAGCTATGTGCACGGTGGCTGAGGCTCACCTTTCTGGTGGCAGGTGTGCTTCATGTGGGCCCTGTTTGTGGTTCCAGCAATAAAACCAGCACCTGCTGGGGCCTGGCACACTGCAGCCTTTGGTGGCTTTGTCTTGAGTGGTGCCTGTGGGCAGGAGAGCTGCAGGAGGCAGGTGAGCCACCTTGTCCCATAGAGTGGGTGCTCTCTGGTTCACCCTCTCTGGGCTGCAGCAAGCACTCCATGTCCTCTGTCAGGCTTTGGGAGGCTGAAGGGGTGGCTGTGAGCCTGTCCCTTGTCAGCTCTGGGATTAGGAAAGCATCTCCCACTGTGTCTTGCTGCTGTGAGCCAGGAGCATCAGCCCCTGTGCAGTCAATTACAGCTCTGATGAGAACATGCACCCTCTGATTCCTCATCCAGGCTCCATGCCTGCATCTCCTTGTAAGCTTGGTGTGATGGCTTTGTGCCTGGATCCAGCTTTTTCATCTTCTTGGCCTCCTGTGGGCCGTGGCTGGGGTGAGGTGGTTGTTGTGATGGGCTGTTGGCATGTTCAGGTTCTCTAACGCCTTCCTGAGGGCAGCCAGCCATGAAGATGCTTCCTTGAGTTCTGAGATGTTCCTGCTGCTCACAGGGGTGGTGTCCCCTGTGATTTTGGCTCTGGAAAGCCTGGTGCTGTTTGCTTCTGAATGCTGAAGGACAGCTAGATAGGGAAAGTTGGATTGCCCTGCTCACAGCATCACCCCACGGGGCTGGGCTGGGATGCTGGGATGGTTGTGGTGGTGACCTGCCTGTGTTTCTGTAGGTCCTGGGCCCAACGTGCCCCCAGTGTATGGCTTGGAAGTGTCTGATCTCCTGCGGTGGGAGGAGGATGTGGTGAAACCTGCGCTGGAGATTGTGGAGAGCTTCATCCAGGTACTGGGGAACTGGAATTAAAGAAAGAACTGTGACCCAAGAAGCCAATTTCTTGGTAGTCTCCAGGCCCCATAACTTGGCACTGAGTCTCTCCCATGAGCAGTGCTGCCTGCTTACATGTGCATCCTTTGGCTTTCCTCATGGTAGAAGTAATTTGCTGTCTAAGCTGAAAATTTCTCCTAACTCCCAGTGCTCCACTTGTCCTGCATAGCAAAACCTGCTGCCTCTGTCCTGCCAACCTTAGTGTCTGCATTTGGCACAGCCCAAACCTTACCAGAGTGAACACAGATGGGCAAATTTTCATGGTAGAAACCAATTTGTGGCATTATTTATTCTCCAGGGCCGGGAGCCCCCAGCACAGCCAGTGAAGATGGAGCAAGATGTGAACGAGAACAAGCGAAGTCATCGCGTGTGTGAGCTCTGCAACAGGCTCATCATCGGGGACAGGGAGTGGGCAGGTAGGATCCAGCAGGGAGAGGACCTGGGAGGGGACACAGAGTGTGGTTATGTGGGGAGAGGGAGGACAGCAGCTTCCCTGGCTGTCTCTGCGTGGCTGGATGACCCTCGGCACATGATCTTGGGCTTTCAAGGATTGTTTACAGCTCAGGGATGAAAGCAGTCATTTGCAGGCCCAGAGGGGGTGCAGGAGCTGTGCCACAGCAGCCATCTGTCAGGTTTGCCCCTTCCCCAGGCTTTCCCCCCTTCCCCAGGCTTCCCCTCCTTCCCAGCACCCAGTAAACACGAGAGCATCACACCAGGGATCTATACGTAGCATCAAGCTGTGTTTAGCCAAGGTTGTTGGTCCTTTACAGCACTAGATGCTTCCTCAGAAAGCACAGGACAAATTCATCTCTTCTAAAATTCTGTTGTGTAAATGAAAGTTTCTTAATGTTTTTAACAGCTCAGCTTTGCACCGATATTTCCTATTTGTGTGTGTTGTTGGGTTTTTTTTTCTCTTTAATTTTTCCTAGCTCTAATAGTAACAGAAAGGGATTTTCTATTTTCAATAGACTTACTTTAAAAGAGCTCAGCTGGAATCAGATTAAGTCAGTGAATTTATCTGTGCTGGGAGGCTCATGCTGAGAACCAGAAACAAAACGTAGTGGAGAAACTGGCTGCAGAAATGAAACTGGTAAATCTCCATGTGTTGCCCAAATGCAGGATGTGCAGCGTTGTGGTTTAACCCCAGCTGCATCTGAGCCCCACACAGCCACTCCCCACCAGTGGGATGGGAGAGAGAATAGGAAGAGTCAAAGGGAGAGAACTCATGGGTTAAGTTAAAGACAGTTTAGCAAAGACAGCAAATCAAGGAATTCATTCACTGCTTCCCATGGCTGGGCAGGTGCTCAGCCATCCAAAGCTAAGCGGCTGCAGAAATGAAACTGGTAAATCTCCATGTGTTGCCCAAATGCAGGATGTGCAGCGTTGTGGTTTAACCCCAGCTGCATCTGAGCCCCACACAGCCACTCCCCACCAGTGGGATGGGAGAGAGAATAGGAAGAGTCAAAGGGAGAGAACTCATGGGTTAAGTTAAAGACAGTTTAGCAAAGACAGCAAATCAAGGAATTCATTCACTGCTTCCCATGGCTGGGCAGGTGCTCAGCCATCCCCAGGAAAGCTAAGCTTCATCATGCCTAAAGGTGACTTGAGAAGACAAACTCCATCATTCCCAATGTGCTCCCATTCCTTCTTCTTCTTCCCAGCTTTATACACTGAGCACGAGTTGTATGGTCTGGGATATCCCTGGGGTCAGTCAGGATCAGCTGTGTTCCCTCCAAGCTCCTTGTGCACGCCTGGGAGGGTGGTGTGAGGGGGAGGAAAGGCCTTGATGCTGTTCAAGTGATGTTCAGCAATAACAAAACATTCCTGAATTATCAACCCTGTGCTCAGCACAAAGCCAAACACAGCCCTAGAGCAGCTACTGTGAAGGAAATCAACTCTGCCCCAGCCAAAACCAGCTCAGGCAGACACAATGCAAAGATAAATTTCCCAGGTTGTTGGTTGTCAGATTTGAACGAGTTGTTATTCCTATTGAGCCAGGGAAATGCTGAAAGCAAAGTTGGAAGCTGGCTCAGAGTAGGAAGCTCATTACAATGAGCTCAGTTTGTAAGTGTAGTTGTTGTTTTAGCCAATATCAGCTTGGAGGTGCTTTGAAGGAGCTCTACCTGCCCCAGAACTGCAGCACTCTGAAAGCTGTCAGGGTCCCTGTCATCCTTCCAGGTCCAGCAAGTTCTGTGACCAAGTGGGAGCTCCTCAAGGTCCTCCTAAACACCACAGCTGCAGCTCCATGTCCTTAGGGATGTCACCCCAGATTCTGATCGATGGTGACAATACTTCTCTCAAACAAGACCAGCTGTTGTGCTCTGCATCCAGCTGAACTGGGCTCAAATCCCCAAATGGTGGCAGAAAAATGGTCCAAACTCTGGGTGTTACTTGTGCCTGCAAAATGGAAAAGGAAGGTGAAAACAGTGGTGGGAGCTGAGTGGATCTGCAATCTGGTCTGTTTTCTTAAGGCAAGTTAGACTTTCGGGAACTGCTTCCCAGTGCTCTGCTGGCTCTGGAAGAGTTTAAAATTTGCTCTAATTATACAGTTTATGTGCACTTAAAAGTGCACAACTCCCCAGACAGCAGCAGCAATCGGCACTTCTTCAGCCGCCTTAGCTTTAGTGTTGCTTGTGACAAATTGCAAGAGGTGAGACTTTATTTCAAGCTGAGGGTGACCCTCCAGCATTTTGCCAAAGCAGCAGCTTTGCATGTAATTTCATCCTTTGGCAGAAAAAGGATGACTGGAAAACACCTGAGGGCCTTGATTCAGTGAGCACATACCCTCGTTTAATTAAGGCCCTGCTGGAAAAGTTTGTGCTTTAATTGCTGCTCTGATCTCTTGGAAATAGCAAAACTGCCCTGCTAAGGTGGTCAGACAAAGCACTTTGTCTGAGAAAAAAACCAGACTGATAGAGGAGGTTTTGCTGTCCTTAAGGATGTGATTTCACAAAGAAATGAAGCTCCCTAAAAGCTTCGTCCTTGGGATTCTCCCTCTGTTCCCATCTGAGTCCTCCTGAAGTGCTCTCATAGCTTGGGGCCTTGCCCTGGAGTTATGCAAAAGCTTGATTATGCTCCAGGCTCCATCCCTGGCTGCTCTGTAGATGCACAGGATATTCCCAGTGCTGTGGTGCAGGGATCCAACCCTACAAATGATCCTGGCAGTGCTCCATGGGGAGTGGAGAGTTGCACAACCCCAACCACAACCTGCTAAGTGCTACCTGTTTGGAAAGACTTTCCCTTCTCCTGTCCTCCCATGTCTCAGCTGGAGCAGACTTGCTGGGTGAGTTCTGACAACCTGGAGTCTTTTTCTTATACAGCACCAGGAATTTTTCCTCTCCCAGTCCTTCCTGCAGTCAGGAGGAGGCTTGGGAGTGTTATCCCCCTCTGAGCTCTGAGAGTTTGGCCTAGAAGTGTCCAGAGAAACAGCCAGGGCAGGGCTTGGCAGTTCACTTTTCTGTGGGAATGAAGGATGGGAAGAGAGTGCTCTGCACTGCACAGGTGAATCAGGTTGGGTATTTCCTTCTCCAAGTTCCCCAGAATGAAATGCTCTGTTTGCCTTTTCCTCCAGCTCACACACGATCCAAATCCCACCTGCACCACCTGAAGAAGAGGAGGAAGCTGGAGGCAGCAGGCCATGCTGCAGGGACTGTGGGGAACAGTGGGGATGCAGAGACCTCGGATGAGGATGGCAAACTGGCCTTGCCATAGACCTGGAAACCAGCTGGGGAAGGGGAGCAGCTGTGCTTCCATCCACCTCCTCAGCAAGGAAGCACCTCAGTCCTGGGCAGCCTCGATCCAAGGAGCCGAGTCATTTCTTTTGGGATGAGGCAGGTGTGTGATGATCGGATCCTCTTCATGTGGCCTCATCCCACTGTGTTCCCAGGCTTCCCCAGCCCTGCTGGGAAAGGGCTGGGCCTTGAGGCAAGGCTGCTGGGATTGTCCTCCCATGCAAAGTGTGAATTCCTGCCAGGTTATCCTTGGAATGGTTGAGCTGATGCTGTTGGCATGCGGATGTGTCGATCTCAGAGACAGAAATACCCTGACTCCTCCAGCCTGGCCAGGAGTGCAGCTCCAGAGCTGAGGGAGCTCTTGTTGCCTTTGTTGTGGAGAGGACATATTTTTGTTCTTTCATATGGAAATAAAGTTGGAAGGTTATTGTGGCTTCTCCTCCCTGTTAACGAGCGCCGTTTTCTTGCTCTCTGATTCCACCTGGCCCAGGTTCCCTGCTCTGGGCACAGGGCAGGAGGTCTAGGTCTCATTCCTTCTTCCAGTCACCTTTTCCACAGCTTCTGAGGAAGCTGAGCAGATGTTCCCAGCGTGGTGGGGGCAGGCTGATCCCTGAGCACACAGCAGGTGCAGAAGGATCTGGCACCTGTTAAACAGGAACTTGGAAATGATCTCATCGAGTTTGCAACAGATGAGCCTGTCCTAGTTAAGGCTGAATTCCCGGGGGTTTACACTGTGGTTTGGCAGTGGGAACTGGCCCTGCATTTGAATCTGAGCTGCTGAGCAGCAGATTCCTTGGGCTGTGTCTGCCAGGCAGTTGGTCCCAACGTTGTTCCTGGAGGATGTGAGTGCCACCTGTGCCACTCTGGTGGAACCAGGGCCTTTTCCATCCTTTGGGATTCTCCTGGCAGATGCAGTCAGGATGGCTCCTCCTGGGAGGGTTTTGGGTTGGTAGAGCAAGAGTTTTTTCCTTCAGCTGTTTGTGGTGTACCATGTGGCAAGAGCCACCTCCCAGGGCTCATGCTGCGAGAGGAAGGGCTGTGTAGGTGGATCTGCCAGCACAGGCTCTGGAGATTCCTGCTTTGGGGAGGATTAGATTGAAACCTCCGGTTTGTGTTCCTCAGCATTGAATTATTTCTGTAATGCTCTGTGGGGAGGCTGCTCTGGGCTGTGTGATGGGGTGTGGGGTGGCTTGGGAGCTCACACTGAAGGGCATATGTGGGGAAGAGCTGGGAATTTGACATTGGGCAGAGCTGGGCATCAGCTTTGGAATGCTGGGCACTGTGTTTGTGCTGCTGGGTCTGTGGAGCACCAGCTGAGCCTCTTCTCCAGCCCAGACTTGTTCACCATCCACACTGACTCAAGTGTATGTGGATATGGGCTCAGCCCAGCTCTGGAACACACAGCCAAGGGGTCATGGCATGGAATTGTGTTCTCCTGGCCTGGCTGGGTGAGATGTGAGCCTGGGTGTGAAGCCCCATTTCCCACTGATGTGCTGAGCGTGGTTTGTGAGAGACAGCGTGGAGATGTTGAGTCATCTCCCCAGGCCAGGCTGGGATCACCAGGGCAGCACTGCACGAGGGGTGGGATTATCTGCTCCAGCTCCTGAGTGCAGTCAGATGTCCACACTGTTAGAAATGGATTTAATATCCTTAATCGGTTTAATATGAACTTTGTTATCCCCACAGATACATGTTCTCCCTCTTCCACAATAGCTGCAGGCTGCCTGTTCTCTTCAGGAGCCTGCTCAGAGCAGGCTGTGCTGATCCACTGCTGGGCAGCAGCTCCCAGACCTTCCCCCTCTGCAGCACCTTGGTTTGAGGGCAGCACTCCCAGGTGTCCCAGGAGAACTGAGTCTGTTGTACTTCCTTGTCCATGCTGGGGCTGGAGGGGGAAGTGGAAGGAGGAAGCAAACCCTGATCCTGCCAGCAGTGAGGAGCAGGTGAGTTTGCTCCTTAGAGAGCTGGGGGCTGTCATTGAGGATGTGGAGTTTTATTCTCCAGCATCCCTGTGATGGTTTGCTCTCCAAGGAAGGAACTGGTGTCTGTTGTACCTCCACTGTTCCAAGGACTGGAGGACTGGGATGGCAGGGTCACGCCAGTTCCTGGTGCCAGCACCAGCTCCTCCTGCTCTGTGCCCTGCAGAAGGGACAAACAATGCAGAATTGCTCTCCAGTCCCAGCCAGGACTCGCTGAGAAAGTTGTTGTGGTCTCAGGTTTCAGGCTGCTGTCAGTGCTGGGAGGTTTGGGGATGGGGAATGGCACTTCACTCCATCTGCCCTCTGCTAATCCCCAGACAAACGCGGCTCTTCCATCTGTGCAGCCGGAGCCGCCGAGCCCATCACACCAGCCACTTAATCTAAATGGCTTTGGCCAAAGATAAGGTCATTAATTACACTGGGATTAGAAAACAGTCCAGGCCCGGCGTGGCTTGGCTCGCCATCAATTAAAGTCCTCAGTGCCCTGGCCTGGCTCAGCATTGAGCTGAGAGCTGATAAGGCACCGTCCCTGGGGCACTGCCTGTCCTTGCAGGAGTCTCCTCACCTCGGCACTGGTGTTTTGGCTTGGTGCTGGGATGGGCTCCAGTTCCTGGCCACCAGCAGGGCTGGTGCCAGGCAGAGCTGGTGGTCCAGGTCCCATGGGATGCCCCAGGGAGGAACTCAAGCACTGTGGCAGCCAGCACAGCCCAAATCCTTGTGTCCAGCAGCAGGAGGTACATGGGCAGCACATCATCATCTGCATCCCCACGGTTTGCTGCCTCCACCTTCCACCAGCCCCTGCCGGGCAGCACATCATCATCTGCATCCCCATGGTTTTCTGCCTCCACCTTCCACCAGCCCCTGCTAGGGCACATCGAGCTCAGCCCTGACTCACTGCCCCCCAGGGTGGCCAAGCCTCTCTGCCCTCACTCATGGTCCCTGGAGCTCTGAGCTCAGTCTCTCTGTGATGGTCAAACACTTGAACTTCCTTCTGCTCCTCCACCTTTTGGTTCCCTTTTCTTACCATATTTTGACTATAAAATCGGCTCATCCCACAGGAAATGTCTCAGCCATGCAGTGCTGCCCTTCGCTGGGGTGGGATGTGCCACTTGCTCTGCCCTGAAAAGTGGCACATTGGGGACAGTCAGGGCAGGGATGTGACCTGAGTTTGGCCACATCCCTCCCCTCACAAGGAAGAGACAGCACTGCATGGATCAGGGAGGATGTTACAGGCTCTGTGCCAGGAGCTGACCAGCACCAGGGCACAGGGGCACAGCTGCCACCTCGCCCAGCACCGGTGACCAGCTGCTGTCTGTGCCTGTGTTCACTGGTGGGTGTAAAGATCTGTCCTTAACTCCTGTTGGAGGCCTTGGGTGGTGACGCTGTCCCAGCACTTCCCACCCTAGTTCCCACACTGTGGGGACAATCCTGTGCTGGTGCCTTGGGCGTGCTGAGGACCATCTGGGGGACAGTGTCACCTGGGGACATCAGCTCCTGCAGACACAGCAGCTGCAGCCTCTGTACCGAGCCTCATCTTCAATTCTCAGGTGGGATCGTCGTGCCACGGAGCACTGGGAGGACTTAACAGAGCCTTGGGTGGTGGGTTGGGTGGGAAGGAGTTCTCAAGGTTGGTTTGGGCTCAGTAGGGTTGGGTGGCACCACTGCTGTCCCAGAGCTGCTGGGTGAAGGGAAGTGATGGGGAAACTGAGGCACAGCTGGGGCTGGGAGCAGGGCAGGGCGTTGGGTATCCTGTGGCCCATCTGGTGCCTCGGCAGGATTTCAGGTGGCTGTGGTGAAGTTGTGTTGCAAGAGCCTAAAAATAAAAGGAGCAGTTGGCCGAGGTTGTGCAACAGTGTGTGTGTCCCATCCCCTGTGGCGCGGGAGTTTGGCAGATCTGGCGGTAAAACCTGGGTGTGAGTGGCTGGATCCTGGCATGGGGCCCAGGAAGTGCCAGGATCCCAAAGGATTGGGGCTGTCCCCCCTCCTTGTCCCCTCCTCGTGCCCGTTGCAGGGCTGGGGACGTGGGGGCTGAGCCAGGCTGTGGTGGCAGAGGTTGGGATGCGTGTCCCCGTGTTGGCATCCTGAGCAGTTCAGTGTGGGGTTCACAGCTTGGGGGACTGTGGGGACTCTGCCCATGTGCCCTCCAGCACATGCTGGAGGCAACAGTTGTCACCCATTGCCCAGGTGGGGAAACTGAGGCACAGAGAGTTGGTTTGCATGAGGCTCTGCGGTGTCACCCGTGGGATGCTCGTTGTCCCAGGGGGGTCAGTGTGCAGGCAGCTGCCTGTATTCCAGGCAGGAAAAGGAGGGAAAGGTGGCGGGAAGGAGAGCACTGGCAGGATCCCAAATCCCAGGGCGCTTGGCACTGTGCCCCAGGAATGCAACCGTGGTGAGACGAACCCTGGGGTGTCCCCATGGAGGGGGTGACACAGCCCCCACCGAGGGCTGAGCTGGGATGCTGGGATGCCCTGGGGTCTGTGGGGGTCTCCCCCAGCTCGGGGGGCTGTGGGTGGGGGTGCGAGGCCGAGAGTTTCCCCCCACGGTGGAGGCGGCACGAGTGGGGCTGGGGTGGCTGCGATGTCACGGTGTCACAGGGCCATCTGCCGGCAAAGGCACTAGCCCCGTGGCAGAGAGCCACAGCCTCCAGCACCATCCCAGTGCTCCCAGTCCGCGGCTGCTGGGGCACTGGGGGCGGAGGGTGCCCTGGGTGGGCTGCTTTGGGGGCAGCCTCACCGTGGGAGGCACACTGGGGTGGTGTTGTGTCCCCCCTCTGGAGCTCCTGGTCACTGATAGTGTTGGACATAGCTGGAATTTCTATGATTCCATGATTTATCCTGCAGGGATGGGTCCCCTGGGCATCGTGGAGTGAGGGCACAGTGCCTGGGAGAGGTTTCAGTCAAGGGGTCTGATGGATGGGAGCTATGAAGTTTGGATGGGACACGGCAGAGATGGTCCCGCGTCGGCCACGAAGAGATTAAATGTCATTTTATTTCACACCCGAAAAAAAATGTAGAAAAGAAGTGGTGAGTGTGGATTTAATTGCTCATATTAAAAATCTACCAGGTGAGACTGAGCCGTTTCCTCCAGAGTCAGTGCAGATCCGCAGGGATGCTTATTCCTCCTCCTCCTCCTCCTCCTCCACTGGATGCTTGGGGACCAAGGTGGAGACAGGGGTGACACCAGCCCCTTCCCCTCCCCAAGGTGCCCCCATGCCATGGGCACTCATTGCTGCCAGCCCCATCAGCACATCCCTGCCCAGGTCCATCCTGCCCAGCCCTGGCACCCCTGGCGCGTTGTCCCCACGGTGCCACCCGCACCTCGTGTCCAGGAGCAGGTGCTAATTTAGGGGTGGGAAGTGGGGGCAGGAGCGCGTGGGGGGTGGTGGCCTTGGGCCATTTTGATTTTCTTTTAGCATTTCTGTGTATTCCTCATTGTCCCTTTTCCCTCTGTAAAAAATGAGCGGTATGGTCATGGGCGTCGGTGACACGGTGACGTGTGACTCCGGTGGTTGCCCCGCGCTCACTGCAGCAGGGCCCGGATCTGTTTGGACGTGGTGTCGTCGTTGAGGTGTCGAGTGGTGTACCTGAACAGAGAGGGGATGGTCAATCCTTGGCACCCTGACCTGGCTCTGCTGTCACCACACAGGGTCACCATCCTCTGCCATGTCCCTCTTGGCTCACCTCAGAGCGTTCAGGAGCCCCTCAGTGCTGGTTGAGGGCTGGTCTTTCAAGACCTTGATGCAGCCTTTCATCTGGAAGGGGAGTGAGAGAAGCTGTGAGAGCTTGGATGTGTTGCAGACAGCTGTTCCACTTCCTCCCCACCCTCCTCCTCACTGCTCAGGGGGATGAGTTCCCCTCTGGACCAGCTCAGAGACATCCCCATCGATGTCATCCAGGGAGAGACACCCTCAGGCATCACAGCTACACTGGGATGAGTGGGATGGCTGTGACCCCCCTGGTGCACCCCATGGCCACTCACATCGATCTTGGAGGTCTTGGCAAAGGCTCCCACGGGGTGGACGTGGTCATAGAGGATGATGACACCGACCATCACCCGCATGCAGAAGAGAAGGGTCTCGGTGTTGGTGAAACGGCTCCGGTACTCCCTGTGCCACAAGAGGAGCTGGTTGAGCTTGGGAGGGTGGCAGAGGGACCCCAGCACTGAGATGTCCTCCCCCCTGACCCATGTGGGGTACTCACGGGGTCTCCAGCATCACCCTGCAGACACAGGCCATGGTGCTCAGGCAGTCGGTTGTGTCCTCGATCGGGAGGGTCTTGTTCTGAAACCCAACAGGTCCTGGCTGCTGTTTCTACACCCAGTCCCCTGCATGGTGCTGGGGTTCAGGGGGGTACTCCCCTCCCCCAAGGGTCCCCCCAGCCTTGCTCACCTCCGAAACAAACTTGGTGGTGGCGTTGCTGAGTGTTTTGAGCATGGGGGTGGCCTCGGCGTAGAAGAGGGACATCCTGTTGGCCATCTCGTTGTTCACCTCGCTCTCTGCGTCCAGCTGTGGGGGGAATGATGGGGTCATCGGTGTGGCTGAACCCTCCTTGAGTCACCCCCAATCCTGTGAGCCCCTGAAGGAGGTGATCCCTGGCTGGGGAAGACAGCACTGTCCTCTCACCTGCAGGTTGTTGATGCGATTCCGGCTGATGGTCCGTCTGTAGTAGCTGAAGTCGTTCTGGATGGCAGGGTTGGTCATCTGGGGGGAGACCTGGGTTAGGTGCCAAGGCCAGAGCCTGGGGCACGTCTTGGGAGTCCCAAGGGGCTCTGCTGGTCAAAGCTTTTGTATGATTCAGTGTAGGGACCCCTCAGTTCTCACCCCACACAGGGAGGTACCTTGAGCTCATCAAAGCTGAGGGTGAAGTGGAGGATCTCAGCGAACTGCTTGGCCAAGGCTTGTTCCCGCTCAAGGTGCTGGGTCGGGGCGTATGGAGGACTGGTGAGGGCCTCCAGCAGACTCCGCAGGGCATTCTCTGGGGACAAAGCACCACTGGTCTCCTCCTGCCCCTCTGCACCTCCCCAGATGGGGAAACTGAGGCACAGGGTAGCACAGCACCCAGAGCTGAGCACACCCCATGGGCTTCCCTTAAATCTGCCCTATTCCCGCATCTGGGGAGGGATGCAGAATGCAAGGAGGGGA